TTCCCAGATGTAACCTATTTGGACCCTGGAAGGGTATTTCCAGTTTGTCAGTCCAAACTGATTTGCTGCCCACCTGTACTTCAAAGAGGGATTATCATTTGCTTGCCAGTGCCAACTATAGTTCCCTCCCTACAAGCCTCGGCCGACATGATGCTTCCTTCTACTCAGTCCTGAAAAGGAATCTTCGTCTATCAGCCTTGGTTCACCTATACCCCACAGAGGTGTCTTTCTAGACACATGCAATGTAATGACCTTTTCTGGCATCCAGTATGCTAAGACTATTCATTTTCAAATGAAGTTTCGACCTCAGGCTTGGGAGTACCTTCCCCATTTTCCAAGTTTGTTTTTTCTTTCAATATTCTCCCTTAGCTCCAGGGTATTACTCAGAATTGTCTTTACCTTCTTTAAAGTTGATTTCCTTACAAAATTAGTAAGTATTTGCACTTACAAACCCTATTCAAATTACTGTGTGATTTATGTCTTCCGACTGGATCGTGAGTGACAGAATAGGCAAATATCTCCTTAAAAATATATAAAAAGCACTAAACATAAATCAAATTTATACATTGGACTTAATTAAAATTAAGAACATTTCTAGTCATCAGACATACTATTAAAAAAGTACAGGCCGGGCATGGTGGCTCACACCTCTAATCCCAGCACTTTGGGAGGCCGAGGTGGGCGGATCATGAGGTCAGGAGATTGAGATCATCCTGGCTAACATGGTGAAACCCTGTGTCTACCAAAAATACAAAAAAAAAAAAATAGCTAGGTGTGGTGGCGGGCACCTGTAGTCCCAGCTACTTGGGAGGCTGAGGCAGGAGAATGGTGTGAACCCAGGAAGTGGAGCTTGCAGTGAGCCAAGATCGTGCCACTGCACTCCAGTCTGGGTGACAGAGCAAGACTCTGTCTCAAAAAAAAAAAAAAAAAGTACATAGATTGTAGAAGATTGTTGTATATATACATCTCACAATGTCAACTTGAGTTACAGGGTTATTTTTAGTTCTCCAGGCTTATACACGGTGTTTGGTCTTCTGCTTGAAACTTAAGAGATTTAAAAACATGGCTATTTGCTCTTGAATTCTTACCCTGTTTCATCTGCCTGCAAAAAAAGGCATCCTTGAGATTTTTATTTTATCTTTCTTATATTACAGGTAGTTAGACAGGCATGAGTTGGTCAGGAGAGGGCTCTACCACACCCACTAGGAATGTTAGGCAATGGTTGGGCAATTATCATACTGCCTCTCTAAAAGTGATAAATTGGCAGCTTGCACCAGGGAGAGGCCATTTCCTGATGGTCCCCACCTGTTGCACTAAACTGCTAATAGAATGCAGATGCCAAAAGGAAGCAACTTTCCAGACATGTGCATTAAGAGACAAAATGAAAGAGTGTGACCTTCTGAGGGCACACCACCGAGAAAGGGAAGAAAGACTCGGATGGGCATGCGTACAACTTCCTGAACACACTGGGCATGCTCACTTCCTAAGGGTGAGGAGGGCACTGTGCATGTGGGCAGCCCACTCTAAGGGAAGGATCACGGGAAAGGGGCCAACCTATAAACTCCTAGGACTGAGGTTAAACACAGCACTTATCCTTCAGTTTACTCACTTGGGTCTCTTCCATGTGTACTTTCCTTTTTTTCCTCTTCTAAAGCATTTTTAAATAAACTTCCACTCCTGCTCAAAACTTGCCTTGATTTATTTCTCTGCCTTATGCCCCTCAGTCTATTTCTTTCTTCTGAGGAGGCAAGAATTGAGGTTGCTACAGACCCATATGGATTTGCCACTGGTAACTTGAATACCTTCTACCAGTAATATATTTGAAGTCATGAGACTTGGATATTAGCCAACCCTAACACCTATATGTCACAGGTTTTCTGAGAACTTCTGATTTCAGGGTTCTCAGGGAAGCAAACTTTGAGGTAAAATTTAGTGTGCAGTTTATTTAATAAGAGAATCCTGGGATAATCATCTTAAAAATAAAAAGAAATGAAAGTGGATAGGATTGGGCAGAAGGAAAAGTTGAGCTGTAAATCAGGCCTGAAAGCAGTGAATATTTTCTTCACTGGGCTGAAGGGGCCAGACCTTTCCAACTTTCTACCTTAGTCATTGAATGGGTCAGTGGATGACCCCAGGCAAGGCTCATTTCTCCAGCTGAGGCAATTCCTGAAAAATTGAAAAAAAAAAAATTGAAGGCTTTCTACTGGACTCACTGCTAGCAGCTGGGGCTACAAGTCTTTCATTGAAATGGGGCTGAAACTACATATCTTTGCCCATCATAGCCCATGTCAAAGCCCTTTTCTTTGTGGGAGGAAATGCAAAATGCTTTGGGTAAGTTTTAAGTCAGACTGAAGAATACTACTAACTCATACTCTTTCTAACCTCTTTGCTTTCTTCATGTTACCTTCTCTTTCTAGAATACCTTTCCCAGTGATGTGTTGTTTAACCACCTCCTCTCTAAGAAAAAATTTTAAAGCCCTGATATATAATGTTTACCAATTTCTGTGGTTTAAATATTTCCATCATAACCAATTTCAAACTACCTATATGATATTACAGAGCACAAAAGCAGAACAAGATACACACAATTGTCTCTTACGTGCCAGCTTCAGTACACCGCTTTATTTCCAACTGTGTTCAACTGCTCAAGAATGAATTGGACCCACAATGCACAGTGTGTCACCTACTCTAATTATTGATTCCTACATCCTCAAGTAAAATTGACCACTTATTTTTATATATTTATTTGTTTTTTGAGACAGAGTCTCACTCTGTCGCTCAGGCTGGAGTGCAGTGGCGCGATCTCCGCTCACTGCAAGCTCCGCCGCCTCCTGGGTTCATGCCATTCTCCTGCCTCAGCCTCCCTAGAAGCTGGGACTACAGGTGCCCGCCACCACACCAGGCTAATTTTTTTGTATTTTTAATTGACCACTTGTTAATATATCAATATTATAAAATGTACCTGTTCCAGTAATATAATTGGTTACACTTAATTTTACTAATCTTTTATCTATGTATCTTCACTATTAAACATTCATTATTTAACATTAACATTATGCAGTTTGCTGTTTATATATCCACAGTACTAACAGCAATAACTATAATAGTTATTTCAACTATTTAATGAGTACTCATGACTGCTGGGGAAGACCAGCTGTATAGTGCTGTGATAAGGTAATAGACATGGCCCCATATTCAAAAAGTCTGCAATACAGCTGAAAAGAAAGTGAATTTATATGAAATAACAAAATATCACCCATAAAAACATATCTATAGTTCATTCTAGCAAAAAAGAAAGAAAAAGTAATGGGTTATCAAAAATAAATTGGTAAAAACACAATACAGATCCACACAGGCATGTAGAACAAGGGGTAAAAGTACTATTAAAAGATGAGGATTGAGATTGTGCACAGCTCTCAACCCATTCACAAATTAAGACATAAAATCCTGTCCCATACTATTAAACAGAGTCAACACAATTGCCCAGATGTTTAGACATGTACTGTCAGGCTTTCTTCAGCAATTCCTGTAACTGAGTACCCCATTTTCTTAAAAATATATATATATATTTTACAATTTTTTCCCCTTTTTCCTCATCTCTTACTTTGCTCTTTAGGAATGCAATTACAACCTTTACATTCCTTTTTTTCCACTGGCCAAACCACCTGCAAGCACAACTTCCTTATATTACTCTATGTTTGCTTAGAAGTTCCATACGCCAGCCGGTTGAGGGGGCTCACACCTGTAATCCCAGCACTTTGGGAGGGCGAGGTGGGCGGATCACCTGAGGTCAGGAGTTCGAGTCCAGCCTGGCCAACATGGTGAAACCCTGCCTCTACTAAAAATATAAAAATTGGCCAGGGATGTTGGCACACGCCTGTAATCCCAGCTACTTGGGAGGCTGGGGCAGCAGAATTGCTGAACCTAGGAGGCAAAGGTTACAGTGAGCAGAGATTGTGCCATTGAACTCCCACCTGGGTGACAGAGCAAGACTCAGTCTCAAAAGAAAAAAAGGAAAGAAAAAGAAGTTCCATAGACCAAGTCTTAAAACAAACCAAGCACCCTACCAAATTCTTCCCCACTGGCCAGACCACTGGATGACCCACCAGATGACTCAAGATAAACATTCATGAGCAAGCCATATAGACCCCACAAGTCTATGTGCCTTCTGCATGGCCAGAATACCAAAATTTATCTTATTAAAACCCTGCTTTCTGCCCAGAATGCTGAAGTGTCAAATCTGGCCCTGACTCATCACTAAGCTCTGGAATAGTAACTTTCTTCTTACCATCTTCATTCTTGTTATTTGATTTTGCAAGTAGCAAGCAACTGAAACTATATTTGGTAACACTCCCATTTATCTAACTCAGTATTTGCTGGCAAATTGAGGAAGCTGATAGATCTAGAATAGCAATGAGAGAGAGGACACATCACTAAGTGATGAGATTAGAACTTGTACATAGCAAACAACCACAGCAGCAGTTCGAAATCCTGTCAGGAACTCAAGTTCCAGACTTGCCCTAAGAACTCAAATTTTTTTATAAGCAGTTATGACACTGTTGGATGAGAAACAAAATATGGGCAGCAGTATTAGTAAAAGAGATAGAGATTGATTTCTGAGTTTTAGATAATTAATATGAGAAACAATATAAACACAGTTACATTTAGGAAGAAAAGATACGCTATTATTATCATTAACAACAATCACAACTCAATAACGTTAATAATTTTGTATAGTTTTCAAAAAACTTGACTTAGCACATACATTTTCTATTATAAGTCTTGTAATGATCTGGGGACAACGTAAGGCCATGGTTGTCACAATTTGTCCAAAAACATCCTGAGTTTCAAATTCATTAAAGATTAACTGAAATTACATGTATAAGAAGTAAAAGAATTAGGATATTAATCAGATGAGCAATGTCCAGATATTTTACTTTTCATATACTAAAATAGCTTCCATGAGATTTTCAGTGGAAAAGTTGGAGTATAGAGATTACTTAAAACCTCCTCCTTAGGACAAATTTGCAGAGAATTCCTAAATGAATCTGCTTTGTTCTGACACTATAGACAATAGGGTTAAGGACTGGGGGAAGAAGAAGGTAGATGTCTGCCATGAAGACGTGGACTATGGGAGATGGATGCTTCCCAAAGCGATGGACCATTGACACCCCAATAACTGGCACAAAGAAGATGAGCACCACACAGATATGGGATACACATGTGTTGAGTGCCTTTAGCTGCTCTTCCCAAGATGCAATACCCAGCACAGTATTAAGAATCAGAACATAAGAAAGAAGGATGAAGATTGAATCCACACCTGGTGTGGCAATGACTACACAAAGCCCATAAATGTTATTGATCCTGGCATCTGTACAGGATAATCTCAAAACATCCTGGTGCAAACAGAAGGCATGAGAGAGGGCATTGCCATGGCAGTATTGATAGTGTCTCAGTAGCAAAGGTGTGGGAAGTACAACTCCCAAGCTTCGCAGCAGACAGGCCAAACCAATTTTGCCAATTACACTGTTGGTGAGGATGGTGGGGTAATGCAGTGGATGGCAGATAGCAACAAAACGGTCAAAGGCCATGGCCAGCAACACTGAGGACTCCAGGAATGTGAATGTGTGGATGAAGAACAGCTGAGCATAGCAAGCACTTGCCTGAATCTCTGGAGCATCCAATCATAACACAGCAGGCATGGTGGGAAGTGTAGACAGGGACATCCCCAGGTCATGCCCTGCCAAGATAGAAATAAAGTAATACATGGGCTGATGGAGTGAGGATTCTGTCCAAATGACAGAGAGGATGGTAACATTACCCGTAAATGCTACCAAATATGCAAGACAGAAGAGCATGGAGAGCCAAGAATGAGCATACTCCAGTCCAGGAAAACCCCTCAAGATAAATATGGGCTCCATAGCATCACTGTTATTCCAGTCTACCATAGTGATCTTGAGTAACTCAGCAAATAGTGAGGAAAGGTTCGTGTTTTTCTTCCTGATCCCTCGAAGTTATCTCTTTTGAGTACAAACAATGGAATCAGGACAAAAATACGTCTTTTCTCTAACCTCACAGAGGAAGGAAGGTGGTATCTCTTGTCGGCCCTAAGTAAAAAATATTTCCTATTACTAAGGAGCACCAAATTCTGGAACAAAAATGTGGACTACACAAATATGGTCATCTTTGGCAAGAAATATGTTGGATTTTCATCGAAGGCACTAAAGAATTTAAGCAACATGAGAACAGAGAAAAAACTTTACTAATTATTATGAATATTAAAATAGAGAAAAGTCAGTGTGAATGTCGATGGATTTGTATGAGCTTCTGGCCAATGTTCTTGAGTTAATCAGTTATTGCTTCTAGGCTATCTTTTCAGTCATGACAATTGAATTGATCCCATGGGCTCAACATAATTTCTATTCAGATGTATTTTTATTTAATGATTTATAATATTTAAACATTTTAAATATTTAACATTTTAATAATACAAGATAAATACCCCATATATGAAAAGAGAGCATGAACATAAGAAGCAGAATCCATAATCCCAGCATGCTTTATTGAACTGCTATTTAACCAACATAGTTTTGAGCTGTTTAGTATAGCAACTATTCCTGATTTTTTAAAAATTCATGGTAAAAAATAACTATATATATGTGTGAGTGTGTGTGTGTGTGTGTGTGTGTGTGTGAAATAAGAGTTTAAATAGTTTGAAAATAAATCTTTAGGCCATAACATCACAATGTAACTATAAAAGTCCATTAAAGACATTTCCCTTTCTGCTCTTCCACAAAATGAGAACAGTGCATTTAACAGTTATCTATTACACGTTTTAAAGAGGTACTTTTCCACTTTATTTCTATTCATTGTTTTTTAATTGATTGATTTCTCTTTCCAAATGATGCTTTCAATACCATTTTTAAAAGAATCATCAATCCAAATATTAAGTGATTCTTAATTTTCTGACCCACTTGCACCTACTTCTGTGAAATCATGGCAATCCAGAATTTAGGCCTTAAATATTCACTATCAGTGCCTCTTAGAAACAATCAAGCTCTTTCTGAGTGTTTCAAAATACGATGCTAACATCTGGCTTTACTTTCCCTTGGCAATTTTTATTGTAATAGCCTCCCTGCCTGTGCTGGATACCAATGTTACCCTTGCTATATCATACTGTGTTGATGGCACTGGGGACAATAGCTGAGCATTATGAGATTCTCTGCCCCTTCTGTTAGCTAGTTCTTTATTTTAGCCCTGTTTAGTTCCATTAACTGTCCCTGAGAAAATTATTTACTTACCTTGTCCCTTAGAGTCTGGGCCTCATAGACTTCAGCAACATCTCTCTGTAGCAACATCTCAGCCATTCCCTCAACCCTCCTTCTGGACTTTTAGTTTCTGATCTTTGGAAAGGTTAAGATAAGACTTAGCCTCATCCTAAAGTAAAAATATTTCCAAATGTGGTCTCAAAGTCATATCACAAGGCTCCAGTTAGTTAGCTGTTTCTTTTCATTAGCTCCATTATATTTAATAAAAAGCTTTATTTTAAAAATCCCTTGACTGATTCTTATCTCAATTTCATACCGTGAAGACTGAAAGTTCTTAGACTGCACAACCTAGAATTCCAAAGAGGGCTTGACTTAGAATCTATATCTGAGGAACAAAAGAAAGCACAAAGCCATCTTCTCCATGTAATAAGAAGGATTTGTCTCTTTCTCTACTTTTACCGAAGTTCAGGAATCCTCCACCTTCTATGAGTCAGAACCTCCCCTGGTGCTCTTCTGCAGCCTAGGCAATCTGAATGAAGCTTTCATTTGAGACTCTTGTCTTAAATAAAGCAGTCAGCTACCCATCAAATTCTTTGTACCCAGCAGAGTATGTGTTTAGAGCATTTATTTTTCTTTATGTCAGGCCTCTGAGGCCAAACCAGGCCATCACATCCCCTGTGACTTGCGCGCGACTTGCACCTATATGCCCAGATGGCCTGAAGTAACTGAAGAATCACAAAAGAAGTGAAAATGCTCTGCCCCGCCTTAACTGATGACATTCCACCACAAAAGAAGTGAAAATGGCTGGTCCTTGCCTTAAGCGATGACATTATCTTGTGAAATTCCTTTTCCTGGTTCATCCCGGCTCAAAAATTTCCCCCACTGAGCACCTTGTGAACCCCCACTCCTGCCCGCCAAAGAACAACCCCCCTTTGACTGGAATTTTCCTTTACCTACCCAAATCCTATAAAACGGCCCCACCCTTATCTCCCTTCACTGACTCTCTTTTTGGACTCAGCCCACCTGCACCCAGGTGATTAAAAAGCTTTATTGCTCACACAAAGCCTGTCTGGTGGTCTCTTCACATGGACGTGCATGACACTTTATCCCTAAGCAAAATTTTTCTCTCCCGTCTTTCATATCACTAGCTGACTTTATTTTTTCTTCCTGCTCACTCGGAAAATTGTTTTGACCTCCTATTGTAGAGTTGAGTTCTTAAAAATGATATAGGTATTAACATTGAAATATATAGAACACACACACACAGAGAGTGAGAGATAGGAGAGAAAGAAAAAAAAGAAGGAAGGAAGGAAGGAAAGAAAGAAAGAGAAAGAGAGAAAGAGAGAAAGAGAGAAAGAGAGAAAGGAGAGAAAGAGAGAAAGGAGAGAAAGAGGAAAGAAAGACAAGAAAAGAAAAGAGAAAACTATGGACACAGTGAAGTAGTTTATTTTTACCCCATGCCAGGAAAATATGCTATGTTTTCTCCTTTAATTCTTTCAACCCTGAAATAAATCACATAGGATGCAAAGAACAAAGTGGATCAACACTCTTTAGAATTGTCTTTCTCCCTGCTCTATGTGCAAGTGCCCTATGTGCAGATTTCAACGTTTAGAAAACTTCAGTTGTAGACTGGCCAACAGATTTGAAGTTAGGACAGGCAGGAATATTTCTATTTGTACTCCCTATTAATTTTTAACTGTGTATGTTTAAGGTGTACAGAATGATGACTTGATATACATATATATATACACACACATACACACACACACATTTACATAGTGAAATGATCATTACTGTGTGCATGTGTGTGTGTGTGTGCGCACACGTGCATGTGTATGGTAAGAGCACCTAAGCTCTACTCTCTTGGCAAATTCTCAGTGTACAGTTTCTGTGGTTTTAGTTCTTGCTCATATTGGTTTATCCCTCACTTAAAAAGAGTTCCCATTTCTACAATATTATTAACTCACTGCTTTATCTCATTGATTTATCCCTCACCTGAAAAGAGTTCCCATTCTACAATATTATGAACTGTGGCCATGCTGTATATTAGATCTCTAGATTTATTCTTCCTGTGTAACTGCAAGATTGTACTCTTTGAGCTACTTTTCCGCATTTCCTCCACTACCTGGGCCCCCAAAACCCTTTTCCAGTCTCTATTTCTGTGTGTACTTTCCCTTTCTTATTCTCTCACTGACACATCTGTCATGTCTTTCACTTTTTAAAACCCCTTTATTGTCTTTTGTCTATTCATTTTCTTTTGGCTCTATTTCTAGGTCATTGACAATGATTCTTTGTGGTTCTTGTTGATTTTAGTACAATTTAATCACACTGAGATTGAAAGAGAAATAATAGAAAAGAACTGGAAGTAACAGCAAGACTGTTTCAAAGGGCAGAGGCATGAATCGGCTTATGTCACACATTCACCTATTCTAGGTAATTAAGGGAGAACTACTGAGGATAAGACCATTTTTTTTTTACAGCCTCTCTAGTATCCTAGCTGCAGTTCTCAAAACCTATTCTCTGCTTATCAGCTTATCGCTTATCTTAAAATCGCTGAAAATTATTGGTACAAGACATTATAATATTGTAATAAATTTAATTTTTTTCACAGATGACAATAATTCTTTTTTCCTTTTGCATAAATGGTACATCATCTTTCTCGTAATTTTACTCTCTTTAGTAAACTATATCCACATACAAACTACACTAAAAACTACCAACTAATATTTATAATCTAAAAATTAACACTTACCTGAAATTTAAACATAACACAATTGAATCAATATGCCTAGTTAATTTGCAATCAATAGCCCATTTCTCAAATGATCCACAGTTCCATTTTGTCTTTCTCTGACTAAACTTTTCTTCACTATACGTAAAGTTGTATTTTCTTTCTGTTCCTACGTCGGTGGCTTTCTCTCTCTTTGTCTCATTTTATGTATAGAAATATCTTTACTATTTTTTCTAGTCTCCTTCCCGCTTCCATTTTTTTCTATTTTGTTTTTATCTAAATTTGTGTCTTTTCAGTATGTAATCCTCTATTTTTTCCAGTCCCTTTGATTGGCTGTTTGTTTCTTCTAATTTCTGTTTGTGTTTCTATGGTTTAAGTTGTTGCTCTTATTGGCTTATCTCTCACCTGAGAAAAGTTCCCATTTCTACCTGAAAGTCAAACCTGTACTGATTAAAGATGCTACAATTTTGATTCTCTATGAACCTCAGGTTTTGAAAACCTTTGAATCTGTGAGTAGTGAGGCTTGAATGCTTCCACCATCTCTATAAATACTCCTGGTTTCTCCTGGCAAAGAAAATTAGGGATTGGTGTCAGAGTCTGTTGGATCCCCAGAGATGAAATGGCCACAGAAAGCCCTTAACCACAGGTATGGCAAGAGCATATGATCATAAACTGAAAATAGTAGAAAAGCATCCCTGTTTTCATCCACTATTCCTAGTTCTTTCTTTCAAATTTAATAGTTTTCTCAAATGAGTATAAGAAAGTAAATGTATGATAATTACTGTGATCCAGAGGAATACTGAAATTTCAGCTTTAATTAGGGGCATTGTACAGAACAATGATGATGAAGTGCAATGATAAGTCTTTCCATTATAAGAGGTTTACCACATTTCACTGAACAGAGTAGTTTATTAGTCATGTGCTTAATAAGCATTTATTAAGCAACAGG